TTTATGTTTTGAAATTCAAAGATCAGGTGCTTGACGTGTTTAAAGTTTTTTAGGTTTCAATTGAACGAGAAACACGAATGAAACTTAAATGCATTCGCACTAATAATGGTGGTGAATATTGTGGTCCATTTGATGTGTATTGCAGACAGTAGGGCATTAGACATCAGAAAACACCTCCTATGACTCTTCAGTTGAATGGTGTTGTAGAAAGGATGAACAAAACACTAGTTGAAAGAGTCAGATGCTTATTTTCAGAGGCAAAATTACCTGGATCATTTTGGGGTGAAGCATTACTCACTGTAGCGCATGTTATTAATTTGTCCCCTACTGTTGCATTGCAGGATGATGTTCCTAACAGAGTTTGGTATAGGAAGAATGTTTGTTATGATCACTTGCATGTATTTGGATGCAAGGCTTTTGTACATGTGCCAAAAGATKAGAGGTCTAAGTTAGATATCAAAACAAGACAGTGCATCTTTATTGGGTATGGTCAAGATGAGTTTGGCTACAGGTTTTATGATCCATTGAAAAGAAACTCGTTAGAAGTAGAGATGTGATCTTCAAGGAGGACCAAACCATTGAAGACATCGATAAGGTAGAGAATGCAAGTACCTCTCAGAGCAGTGGTGATTTGACTAATGTTGACCTAGTTCCTTTGACACATGTGCCAGATGTGATTGAGAATGATGTGGAAGCTGATGATCAACATGGTATAGAGGATTTTGATGTTTCCTTAGATGATGATGCAGTTGAACAACACCAGGTTTCTACTGTTCCATCTGATATTTCACTTCGGAGGTCTACTAGAGACTGACAGCCTTCCACCATGTATCCTTTTGACCAATATGTTCTTTTGACTGATTGTGGGGAACCCGAATGCTATGATGAGGCTATTGAAAAGTGAGAACAAAAATGAGTGGTTCAATGCTATGAAAGATGAGATGAAGTCTTTGTATGACAACAACACCTTTGAATTGGTAGAGTTGCCTAAGAGCAAACGAGCATTAAAGAATCGATGTGTTTACAGGTTGAAGACAGAGGAAAACATACCACGATTTAAAGTTAGATTGGTTGTCAAGGGCTTCAGTCAAAAGAAATGTATTGATTTTGAAGAAATTTTCTCACCTGTTGTGAAAATGTCATCTATCAGGACTGTGTTGAATTTAGTTGCTAGTCTTGATTTGGAAGTTGAGTAGATGGATGTGAAGACGGCCTTTCTCCACGGTGACTTGGAGAAAGAAATTTATATGGAGCAGCCTGAGGGTTTGTAGTTAAAGGAAAGAAGAATTTTGTTTGCAGGTTGAAGAAGAGCTTGTATGGTCTCAAGCAGGCTCCTAGACAATGGTACAGGAAGTTCGAGTCTATCATGATTCAACAAGGCTACAGGAAGACTACTTCTGACCATTGTGTATTTGTTYAGAAATTCTCTGATAATGATTTCATTATTTTATTGTTGTATGTTGATGATATGCTCATTGTTGGTCACAGTGCTTCTAGAATTGACAAGTTAAAGCATGAATTGAGCAARTCTTTTGCAATGAAAGACTTAGGGCATGCGAAGCAGATTATTGGCATGAGAATTTTACATGACAGGAAAGCTAAAAAGTTGTGGCTGTCTCAGGAAAAGTACATTGAAAAGGTACTTCAGCGTTTTCACATTGAAAATGCTAAAGCAGTAGGTACGCCTCTTTCTGTACACTTTAAGTTATATAATTGACAGTCTTCCTCTAGTGAAGAAGAAAAGAGAGGCATGCAAAGTGTTTCTTATGCATCTATAGTTGGAAGCTTAATGTATGCTATGGTTTGCACGGGGTCAGATTTGGCTCATGCAGTTGGTGTGGTTAGTAGATTTCTGGCTAATCCAGGTAGAGAGCATTGGAATGCTGTGAAATGGATTATGAGATATCTCCGTAGTACTAGTGGTTTGAAGCTTTGTTTTGGATTTGAAAAACCTGTGCTTGTTGGTTATACAGATTCATACATGGCCGGAGATTTGGACTCAAGGAAATCTATATCAGGCTATTTGATTACTTTTGTAGGGGGAGCTGTGGCATGGCAATCTAGATTGCAAAAGTGTGTTGCATTATTCACTACCAAGGCAGAGTTTATTGCTATAACCGAAGCTTGTAAAGAGTTTCTTTGGATGAAGAAATTCATGCAAGAACTTGGTTTCACTCAAGAAAGGTACATACTACATTGTGACAGTCAGAGTGTCATTCATCTTGGTAAGAATCCAATATTTCATAATAGATCGAACTATATTGATGTAAGATATCATTGGATTCGAGATGTTTTGAACTCCAAGTTGATTGAACTTGAAAAGATTCACCCTAACAAAAATGCTGCTGACATGATGACAAAAGTGGTGCCTTGAGAGAAACTTGAATTGTGTGCCGAAGCAGCCGGCCTTAAATTTGGATAGTTGTTTTTGAAGTGTCTCCCTTCTCTCATGGGCTGGAGGGGGAGAATTGTTGGGTCCAGCCCGTTATGAGACATTGACCCATGTTACAACCCATATTCCTTCGGCCCATTGTTTTTGTCTTCAAAACTAGGGTTATCTGATTTGTGTAGTGTGTTGAAAATAGAGAGCAAAAAGAGAGAAATCAGAAAAACTGTGCTGTAGATTTTCAGTGTACAGTGTTTATCAAACGGCCAGAACTTTCCCATCCCACGTCCGATCGATCTGAAACGTGGACAGAAGGTGGAAGACTTATGGTTCCTCATTTTGAACGGTTGGATCTTTGATCGGAATTCTGGATCGTCGGTTATTTGAGGTCGAATAGAAGCAACTCGCAGCTGGTCTGGAAAAGAAAAGAAAACAGCTCGCGACAGTCTTCATCAAACACTCTGATCAAGGGTCATTTGTGGTCCGATTTGGCTGAAATTTGGTGGGTTTGTTCGGAACTCATGGACCTACGATCTGAATGGTGGAAATCGGATTTAGAGCTTTGGAGTCTCCATTTTGTGGCCTGAACAGTAGTCACGTTTGTGAGATTTTTTGACTGTTCTTTTCACAGCTTTCGATATTCTTGTGTATATGTTTGAGAATATGTATTTGCTCTATATTTGTGAGCATATTGTAGTGTTTGAGTTGCTGTAATTGTTATCTCAAGTTATTAGTGGAGATTTTGGTTGGGTCTCCATGGCCCTGTGGTTTTACCCTTCACATTGGAGGGGTTTTCCACGTTAAATATCGTGTCTCTCTTTACTTGGATTATGATTGTTTTTGGTTGATATCTTGCTTGTGATTGTGCTAGCTGAATATCTACAAGTTTGGTTATTTGGGAGAGAAATAGTTTATGGATAAATTGGTTTCTACCCAACATAATTAAGTTTTACTTTCTTGATTGAACTATATTGATGATGAGTAAATAAAATTTATCCCACTCAAGCAGATTAAGAGGGTGAGAAAAGAATAAAAATTTGGGACAATAAATCAGAAATAATACATAAAAGGAATCAACTTATAAGAAAAATACGAGATCAAATCTGTCCCCCACCAGATTCATCACTTCTGATATCATCATCAGGGCTTGAATGTGCTGTGGGACGTTGTGGGGGGCAGATTTGCTCTCCGGAAATACATGATTTAAAGCCGGCACATGAGAGATCTACACATGATTTAATATCGATATGGTGTCCTATGATTGAATGTGAAGTTGATTTAAAGCCTAACAAACACCGGCGTACTTGAGCAGTTGAGCTACTCCAAACGTCCGTAGCTATCCACCTTCAATCATTTTGAGAACTTTCGTTGAATCAACGACGAAAGCCCACTTCTTATTTGCTAATAGCAACTTAACAAATAGCAATCTACGTACTTGACGGTCAGGTCGTGTCTTGTCTAAAACCATTGGCTCTGGTTTTACCCCCAAATTCACGCTTGAGCTTTGGAACCATCTTGGCAAAGTCATCGTAGCAGATGTAAAGGAGCATTCGTCTTCCGGAATGTGACATAGAGATTGGGCTCACATTCTCATGGTCTTGCTCTCTAGACTTGAGATTTGGGAGGAATCTGATTCGATCCAAGGAAACAGTCAACTGCCTAAATGTATGTCTTATCAGGCTACAGATACGAGCTATGAAAATTTGATAGGAGTCCTGGATTTGTTCTCACAGCGCATCTTACAACATGTTTTGGGCGGATATTAAAAACATCTTCCATATTTATATTTATTATTAATAAAAAGTTCTCAATTCAGGAAGATCGGATCTTTTCCTTCACACAGGGCGTCTCACACCGACTTTACATGTACATCCTATCATGCATTGAGAACATCTCTCATACTTATAAGTTGTTATTCACAAAAGATGTTCTCAATGCATGATGAATGTGCTTGTGGGACGCCCATTTGTGAGGAACAGATCCCGTTCCCAATTAAGCTCGGATTTGTTCCTCACACCGATCCTACAGTTACATCTTTTGTATTAGTATTTATTAGTCATTGGGAGGTATTCGAAATACATAATGGGATGTGATTGTTATGGTAGGATGTACGTGTGAGGCGCCCTATCTAAGGAGCAGATCCGGCCTCGAGGAACAATGCCAATTCGTGGATTCACATCTCTACACCGTGGGATGTGACTGTGAGTTAGATGTGAGGTGCGCATTCTGAGTAGCAGACCCATCACTGGGGGATTCGCATGCGACAATAGTCGCAGGAAATCATTTCTCCCAATTTCATGGAGGGCGCTATCACAGTAGGGACTTACAACACACCGGACTCGTTTTGAACACGCCAGTGCTTTAATCCGACACCGGCTTGACGTCATAATTTGTTTTTTTTTACCGAACACTGGCGTGTTCAAAAATCACTGGGGGTCATCAGGGTTGGGTTGTTCCTTTTCCAGTCTCCCCTATCGCGCACGTCAGTACGTCACTCAACTGTAGCAGATTCGTGTTCTTTACTCAGAATCGAATTTGCCTCGACAAATTCTGCAGATATGGATTATTTTCCATCTGATACGCATGTAGTTATATATACAAAGAGCGAGCGAGCGAGAGAGATTCTCCTAACACATACAGATGCCTGTAATGATGTTGAATTGTAATTCCCAGAGTCTTTCAAGTACACCGGAAATGGAACCCGAAATCTGGAGCCAGTTGCCGGAAGAGCTTCTCGAACGTGTGTTGGCGTTCCTCCCTCTCAAAAACTTCTTTAATCTCCGATGTACTTGTAAGCGCTTTAATTCTCTCCTCTTCTCTCCATCTTTCATTTCTATTCACTCTAGTGTTTCTTCGTCTTCTCCTCTTGGAGATCGAGCTATAGTTCCTCCACACTTGTCGCCGTTTCTTCTACTCTCTCACCCCCAGTTTGACTACCAATTCCCTCTTTATGATTCTATCCTGGGCCGCTGGCGTAACTTATCTCTCTCCCTCACTCTTCCTTCATCCTACGTACCAGCCCACCTCCTCTCCATCTCCAACGGCCTCCTCTGCTTCTCCCGCCCCAACTCATCCTCCTTCCTTGTTTGCAATCTCGTCTCCAGATCATCGAGGTTTATCGAATTCCCCGCCTACCCTTTCTCATTTGAGTTTCTTTCTCTCATTCCTTCATCCAATGGGAATGGCTACAAGATGTTTGTGCTCTCGGTTGGTTCTTCCTCGAATACTGCTTTCGTTTACGACTCGAGGGCGAATTCATGGAGCCAATTCGAGAGCTCCCGCCAGATTCTCAACAATAATTCTCACCAAGAAGGGGTGCTTTTTGATGGGCACTTGTATTTTACTACTCCGGAGCCGTTCTCTATCGTGGGTTTTGAATTGGAGACGGGGAAATGGGCAAGGCCGATCGATGCGGAGCTGCCGGGAGAGCTGACGTTCGTTCGATTGGTGAATAGCGGCGAAGGGAAGTTGTACATGGTCGGCGGAATCGGGGAGCATGCGATATCGAGGAGTGTGAAGTTGTGGGAGTGGGGAGAAGGGAATGGTTGGGTGGAGGTGCAGAGGCTACCGGAGATGATGTGCCGGAAATTCACGTCGGTTTGCTACCATAACTACGAGCACGTGTATTGCTTCTGTCACGACGGGATGGTATGTGTTTTCTGCTACACGTGGCCGGAGATCTTGTACTACAAGGTGTCAACGCGGAGCTGGCACTGGCTGCCTAAATGCCCTTCCCTGGGTGAGAAGTGGATCTGTGGCTTCAGATGGTTTTCCTTTGTTCCTGATCTGTACACTTCGGTCTGATCAATGTGTGCGCTCTGTGCATGTGCTTGAGATCGAGAGAATGCGTTTACTTTCAGTTTATATTTTGGTTTAGGTTTATCTAATACAGAGTCATGATCAGTCAAGTTAATTTGTTAGTAAGTTAACTTGCTTGGCAATGGATAGAACACCTGCTCCTCGTCTTAGAATGGATAGAATCATAGAAATGAAAACTTGATTTATACGCAAGTTCAAAATGATTATAAACTTACTCTTAAATGAATATATTCCTAATGAGAGTGGTTTAAATTATTCTTCTTCAATTATTTCCCTTGTATCTGATAATTGGGGAGGAAGAAAAATCAGCTACCTTCGTGGTTTCAGTCTTGGGCTAAAACTGTGAAATCGTGAATCACGGCTTTCATATGTATTTCTATGGCCCCGAGTTTGGATTTCTTCCTCACAGCCCTTGCAGCTGCACATCGGAAATATTTATGTATTTGTGTGTTTTTATTCACAGGGAGATGTTCTCAATTAATGGCTCCAGGGCCGTGACGTGGCTGTGAGAAGGAAATCCGATTTTGTTCCCTTGTGAGCTTGTCTGAATTCTGAAACCAAGTGGATTTAAGACAATTCATTTTAGGTTTCAGAGGATATATCAATGCAACCAACAGAACAGGGCATAGCAATTCATATGGATCGGGGTTAAAATAAGGCAGTTAAGAAATTCTCTATTTTTTGAATTTTTTATTTTTTATTCTATTTTATTTTTGAAACAATCAATGAGATGCATTGATCTCTTCTCCTAAAATTTCTTCTAAACTACCTCTCCCATTATCCCCCACTTTCTCCAAAATTATCTCTAATTCCTATTTATCCTCTCCCCTACTTTTTATCTATATCTATCTAAAGAAAGTTTGGGTTAAAAATTTAGGAATTATTTAAACATTCTGACAAAATTATATAATAACTTTAAAATATTTATTAAAAACATAAAAAAATAATTTTATATTTTTACAAAATATATCACGAAATTATGTTTTTCCGGATTATCTATTTAAATGCTTTTCAAATATTTAATAATATGTAATAGCTATAAATAAATAAAATTCAAATAACAAAAATTTTTAAATATCTTATAGATTATTTAAATATTTAAATAACTTAATATTTATCATAACTAGATTTTAAATAGTTAAAATAACGAAATTATGTAATAAATTTAAAAAATTTAAATAACTAGATATCTATCATAACTAGATTTTAAATAGTTAAAATAACGAAATTATGTAATAAATTTAAAAAATTTCATTGAAGTAGAAAAATAATTATAACATAATATTGAAACTAACTATAATTTAATATATATTATAAAATTAATATTTAAATATTTTATATATTATTTAAGTATTTAAATAACTAAATATTTTAAATACCAAAATATTTAACATAACTAGATTTTAAATAGCTAAAATAAAGAAATTATGTAATAAATTTAAAAAGTATAAAAAGTATAAAAATAATTATAACATAATATTGAAATTAATAATAATTTAATATTTTTACATAATATTATAAATAACTAATTTCACTTATATCAAGTAATAATTTGAGAAAATAACTTTCAAAATTTAATATTTATTGTGTTTCAGTAATTATTTGTTGTTTTTGTGATAAATGTATTTTCAATGATTATGTATACATTTATTTTGTTTTGTTATTTAACAGAAAACTTTCAATAATTATTGGAGATTAAACTACTATTTCTGAATTTTCAAAATTTAATTTATTGTACTTATTGTTTTAATTGTATTTTGATAATAACTCATTGATTAATATTTATTACAAATTAAACTATTATTTGAGATTATACTATTTATTGACTAAGTTAATATATTTTTAGTACTTATTGTATTTTTTTCATTATCAATTTATTTTCAATAATTATTGGAGATTAAAGTATTGTCATTTATCAGAGATGAGACTATTAATTTAGCTAAAATTATGAGTGTTCATAAGTTAGTTTAGTTGGGTTGTAGGCTATTTGGTCAACCAAATTGACTTGGTCAAGTTGGGGAGTTGGTCAATTGAATCCAGCTGATCTTTTGTAAAAATCGATTCACTCAAGTTGTATCGGTTTGGGTCGATTTTTTGGTTTGATTAGTCAGTTAAAAAGATTTAAACTTAAAAATTTAATTTAATTTTAAAAATTACAATGCAATTATTAAAAAAAAAATTTATAAATTAGATTTATGATATAAAACATTTTAGACTAAGAAATATGAGAAATTTCCCACTTTTCCATATTAAATGTTATATTTAAAATATAAAATATTAATATATATCCATAGTTAGGTCGTTTGATTTTGGTCGGTTTACAAATGGTCAAAGTGGAACTAATCCAATTTGGTCGAATTAGGAAATTTTTTAACCAAAGCCGACCTAAAATACTAGTAAATCGACCAACCCTGGTCGAGTTGATCGGGTTGGTCAGTTTCATCTGTTTGATGAATAAACCTAATTGAAATGAATTATTGTTATTTTTGTATTATAAAAAAATTATTAAAACTAGTATATAAAACATGAATAATTATTAATTACTTAAAAAGTTGAAAATATAAAACAATTGTATACTCTTATGTGTTTCTATTAGGGTCATTTACCAGAACGCACTTTATAGTTTTCATATTACTAAAATATCTCATATATTTTACAACTTATTTACTTTTACCATTAAGCCCATGGTTTTTTATTCCAAAAATACTCTTAACACTTTTTTGTACATAAAACAAAATTGATCAAATATAGCCAATAGAGTAGTTGTTTGTGCCTTATTAAGGGCAAATATGGTATTTTTATTTTTATTTTCTTTTGATTAAATTTATTTAATTGAGCATTAGGGTCAACACTATCATTTTCCACTGTCATCTAATAGAAGATTGATTAAATCCATTGCAAATTATAAGTGGTGTTTTAGTAAAATGCTAACTATAGGGTAGATTTTAGTAAATCCATGAAATTATAAGGGGTATTTTAGTAAATGACCATTTCTATTATTTAGCTTTTACTTAATAAATCCTGTGCATCGCATAGGTCCCCACTAGTTAAAGATTAAAGAAGAAGAAGAAGAAGAAGAAGAAGAAGAAGAAGAAGAAGAAGAAGAAGAAAGAAAGAAAGAAAGAAAAATAGCATATTTTTGAAAATTTAATGAATATATAATGATATTTTTGCATTTTCACTTTATCCGTTAGACTTAACTTTTAAAGTTCAGCAAGGTATAGCGCTCTAATCGCATAGGATTCAGCAAAATTTGAATCTGATCCGATCATTGAAAATTTGCAATCAAATCTGGTCATCCATTTGGATTTGAAGACCTTAGATTCATATTTGAATCCTAACAAACTCATATTGGATTCAGATTTAATCCAATTCTGCTTTTATTTTTAAAATACAAAAAAGAAAGTATATTACTTTTCAACATATATATAATAAATTATGTAAATATAACAAACTGAATTTATTATATACAAATTTATATATAATATAATATATCAAATATATTTTTTATAATTTTAAATATAATATATAAAATTTATATATTAAAACCAGTAAATATTATAATATAATCGGATTCAGATTTTAATCAGATCAGATGGGTCAAATCCAAATCCGATATGATTACATAAAAGCGTCATCCAAATCCAAGATAATTAGATTAGATGTTGAATTGGGCCTCGGATTTTTGGGCATCATTGATAGGCCTAACAATATCTATATATATACAAAAGGAATATTTAAATAGTTTCCTAAATACACATGATATATATAAATAACCATCCCTTTCTTTTTATTTTATTTAATTAATCATTTATATATTTAGGTTTTAGACAAACACAATTCTAAGCGACTGAATATCATTCCTCATAACGGGGAAAAAGAATATAGACAAACATTTTTTACTTTTGTTCATAACAAAACCCTTTAGAAGTTACAAGGAAAATTAGTGCGAAGAACTTTCTTCAACATCTTTAGTTGGCATAAAAAATTAAAACTATGGCATTTTAGTAATTTTCCCAAATTTATATTTTATCTTATAGATCACATCTAAGCGTTTATTGTATATTTTACGCCTGCCCACTCAGTCTTCAAAGTTCAAACCTGAAATGGACGATTGACACAGTTAGCTATCTGCTTTGCTATCCTGTTCTAGCAATCTGATCTAGTTAAACAATCTCCATCAGCAACCCTTCAATCTGATCTCTAGTGTAATCCCATCATCATTTATAAACAGCTTCAACAAACCGTGTTAGTATCCAATAAAACATGGGCATATTCAAAAAATAAAAACCAAGGTTTTTAAAATCGATCCAGAAATGGAACCGCTATGGGCACTGTTTCCCGGTTTGGTGGTTTAACCGTTCGCGTCGAATGGTTTGATCTGTGACATCATAAATAAATAAAAAAACAAAAAATATTTATATATAATAAAAATACCATAGAAATTTAAATAAAATACAAAAAATACAGAAAAAAACAACATATGAAAAAATAAAAATAATAAATACTGAAAATACAAAAAAAATTCAAAAAATACAGAAATTTTTCCAAAAATATAGAAAATTTTCCAAAAAATATAGAAAAAATATGTAAGCAAGAATATGTAATGTCCAGTCATAGAACATGAACTTGTGCAACATGTGAATTACTTACAGCATTTTACAGTTGTGCACCATTACCAAAGCTTGATTTTCCAGCTGGGATAGGAAGAACTTTGGAATCACTAATGGGGTCAGAGACAGGACCTGTTGGAATCTCATCAGCTGATTCACGAAGAATAGCATTAAACATGGCCACATCTAATCTATTCATGCATTGCTCCATCACCTGGATATGGAGAAAAAAAGATTGCCATGTCATATTTAGAACTTAGACCTGACTATATATTGATAGGGCGAAGGAGAACAACTACTAGAATATCAGTGCAGAAAGACAGATACCTGAGTATGATATAGGAAGTGAACTATATGTGGCTACTTATAAAGGAATTCCATGTTCACTCTACATGTAAAAGGGTCCATGCTTAAACTATCACTTAACAGCATCCATGCAATGGTCAATCCATACAATGCTTAATGCTTATGCACCCAGATTAGCACCGGATAATAAAGGCCAATTACAAATAGCAGCTGGGGCACTTGATTGGCGCAAGTACATTAGG